AGAATTCCTTTCCCTTTTTGAACTTGCTCACTGTGAGTTACATAAGAGTGCTTTGCTGTTTTTTTTTTGGGGGGGAGGAGGGAAGATAAAGAAGAGGACGGCAAGAGAAGGGGAAGATAAATTAGAGGTTTTCTAAACTTATGCTATTTTTTATCGTGATTTCAAATATGATTATGAGGAAAAAAAATATTTGTTAGGGTTAGTTAATATTAATTTCAAGTTTATTTTTTTATTATTATTTTTAAGTATCTTTTGCTGCACTTAATGTTTAATTTGGTTTGGATGTTTGGCCACCATCTAAGTTGAATTAGTGGTTAGAGTAGATGCTAAACCTAACTTGAGTTTTGTTTCTTGCAATTGATATCATGAATGACTAATTGTAGATGCCATGCAATTAGGGTTTGTGTGATTGTTACATAATTTTCATAGAGCTTATGTGTTGAATTCATTTAGATGCCAAAGTGGATTACATGTAAAGATACTTTTGATGTAACCAGATGCTAGTTATTGAATAGTTTAGGGAAATTGATCATCAATAAGGGAACTTACTTGGAATTGGTATACGTAATAAGGGATTGGGTAGGATTGGTTACTCTGAAATCAGATGCTCTAGTGTCTCTCTCTTGGTTTTCTTACTCTCGTGTCATGCATTTTTTGTCTTTAATTTGTGCTTTCTTTAATTTTAGTTTTTCAATTACAAATTCAAATTAATTTCATCCATTAAATTTTCTCAAATTAAAATTAGTTTCAGTTTAATTGGTAGAAATATTAAAAATTAAATATATCTATGTGGGACAATATATGTACTTAGCTATACTATTTTCTGATTTGTATACTTGTGAGCACTAAAATTTGATTAATTTGATAAACCTGAATTTCACAACATCGCCTTCATTGTGGGAATATGGTGTCACCCATATATGGTCATTCAATGGTTTAGCTTCTGGTCATGGGCGGCTTTGGGGTGTGCAAGATCGGCCCTTGCATGTGGCCCAAATTTTAAGAAGGCTCCCAATTTTTTTTTAGTAAATTTAGGTTTTAGCCACAAAAAAAATTTCACTTTTGGAAAAAGCTAAAATTTTTCTGAAAAATACAGAAAAATCCCTCAACTTTCAAACAAAAGACATGCAAATGTAAAGGATTCCTTAGAAAATCCAAAAATAAATAAGGGCATTTTTGTCCATTTTAGTTTCTTTTAAAAATATTTCTCTCTCCTTTGACCTTTTCCAAAATATCCTTATTTTTTTTTCCTTGTTTCAACATATATATATATATATATTATGTGTCATATATTGACTCTAACATAATATATTAATACATTAAAATTTCATATAATATGAGCTCTTGATCAATATTAAACCCCGTCATAGGGTTTTGATTTTATGAAACTTGTTGAATTATTTGTTTAATAATCCTTTATAATATTTTAAATAATATTTATGAGTATTTTTAAATATATATGGTCCAATTCCTTTTATAGTTTTTTTGTTGAAGACTTCATTTTAGGAGATCTTATTACTCATTTTGTTTGTCCCTAAAATCTCTGAGTCTCCTTTTGGTGCAAAACATTTCGATTTGAGTATAATAATTTCTCTGGATGTAGTGGACGACTTGAAACTCCAAAAAGTAGCCATCGCTACAAATTGATTGCTTGAAAAGTAATGTCAGCTCAGATTGGATGCATTTGTCAATGCCCCAGATATATGGATGCTTTTGCTGCTCTGTTTGCTCAGGGTCTTCTGTGAAACCTTCATATATGGCGTGGCGCACTCATTACAGAATTTCACAAATTTTTTTATATAGTAAATTTGGCTTACATCTTTTAAATTCAACTTATCTTACCTGTAACTCTTCACTTTTTGTTCCTATAAATATTACCCAATTTTTATAAGTAAAAACTCATGACTAGGATCCAACTCATTAAGTTATCTTATTAAACTCAATATCTGATTTATTATAATTTTTTGATTGCCAAAATACCCCTATTTATTTTTCAATGTGTAATGGGGTGATGTTTTAATTTTTGGTTCCCCAATTTATTGTGGTGATTCCCTCTAAAATTGTTGTCTACAATTAATTATCCGTTTCATTATTAAAATTTATTAATACAGTTAACAATGTGTTGGCCAAAAAGGGCCTTTTTCCTTATATTGCCTTTTTGAAATTTTGTTCCATTATCTTTCCCGGATAATAATCTACCTATTTTGGAACTTGGATTTCATTTATTGTACCTAGTTTTTTCATGGATAATAATCTACATATTATTTTTTATTGTACCTATTTTTTTCATAGATAATAATTAACCTATTATCTTTTATGAGTAATAATTTATCTATTATTTTATCCTATGAGTCATATGATGTAATATATGTTAGGTACATTATTGGATATGTAATTTACATATATATATTTTTGGTTTGCAATGGGCGATATGTTAGAGAGAATAGTAACCAAAAGAAATGGGGTGATTGATATGCTATTAATAATTACAATTATGGTAGTTAATAAAATGCTTGAAATAAATTATAAATAAAATATGAAGTTTAGTGGCAATGATGTAAAAACGTAGGAATACTATGACCTCTTATATCATACTGGTCATTTAAATTTGAAATTGGGTTTTACATATAGATTTATAGAATGATGGGTATATGTCTAAGAAATAAAAAATGTAGGGACTTATATTGGACAAGTTTTTTTTTTTTTTTTGGATGATGGGCTTTTGGAAGGGGCAGAGTTTTGGGTTTCTAAATTCTTGGACTTCTCACTGTTTGAGGCTGGTGATACTCATTTTGGATAACCACAAAACAGAGAGAGATTTCAAGACTGTCCCACAGACACAAATTACAACCAGACACTAGATTGGCCACATTGCTTCTTATCTTTACAACCGTTTGCGGCATGGCCTCTGAAGAATTAAGGAATATTAATCATGTCCAAGTCAAAGTCGGTTTCTACGCGGCACCCACGTCCACACACTTATATCAAACCTTTCATTCAACTTTGCTTCCATCCATTTCGATCAACCAAAAAAAAAAAAAAATTTGCTTCCGTTATCCATCCCCAATGGCAGAGCTAAACTCAGTCAGAGTGCTTGAGGTTTGCAATGTTGCTCCACAGCCAAGCTCACCTGCTGGCTCAGCCACACCTACTCCTGAGGCCCTTCCTCTAACCTTGTTTGATTTGCCCTGGCTCAGATTTGCACCCGTCCAACGCCTTTTCTTCTATGAAATCTCCAACTCCTTTGAAACCACCACACTCCTTTCAAAACTCAAAGCCTCGCTCTCCGTCACCCTCCAACGCTTCCGGCCTCTAGCAGGAAACATCACTTGGCCCCAACACTCCCCCAAACCCGTTCTCAATTATGTCCAAGGGGACGCCGTTTCGCTCACCATTGCCGAGTCTCATGCTGATTTCCATCATCTTTCAAGTCCCCAACGCGCCCCACCCCCTCGTCCCCCAATTGCCAATATCCCACGAAAAGGCCGCAGCCGTGGCGTTCCAAGTCACCGTCTTCCCCAACGGCAACGGCTTCTCCATTGGAACATCCATGCACCATGCCATCCTGGACGGCCAGGCTTCAACCATGTTTGTGAAATCATGGGCTCACATTTGCAAACATCTTGGTGATGATCCATCTGGTTCAGCTCTACCAGATCAGCTGAAACCATTTTTTGACAGAAGGGTCGTCCAAGACCCGGCCGGGCTCGAACCAATCTTCTTGAACCAGCTTCAGAATCTGGACGGACCCAACAACAGGAGCTTGATGGTTACCCAGTTTAAATCTCCACCATCAAACGCTGTTCGCGGCATCTTTGTAATCACACGACCCGAAATAGAAGCAATGAAGCAATGGGTTTCGACCAAAATGGCAGAAATGATCAAGAATGAAAAACAATCTGATCGTCCTCATTTGTCAACATTTTCTGTAACATGTGCTTATACATGGGTTTGCTTACTCAAGGCAGAGGAAAAACAGACCGATAAGCCAGATATGATGGGCTTCACTCTGGACTGCAGGCCTCGCTTCGACCCTCCGATACCTGCAAACTATTTTGGGAACTGCATAGCCG